ATACAAAAGGGAATAGGAAGGAGAACGAGAGAAAGAGGAAGAGAGAGAGCAACAGAAGGAAGCGGGTCGCGGCTGGATGAACAGTACCCGTATTTCCCCTAACCGCAACGACCGAGAGAAACAGCAGCCAGTCGACTCCTTCGACTCTGGTTATCCTTGTGCACGTCTTACGACCCAACCGGGTCCTATGCGCGCGCGTGTTTACACGTGTAAACCAGTACGTTTTCTGCGAGCGTCCGCGTAGTTAGCAAATTCAACCGTGGACCTTTGTCGATTACACTGCTTGTACCGCTGTCCCACAGAAGTGCTGGTTATTACAAGTGGATAAAGAAAGATTGCTTTTATCGCATGATGTTCGTGGAGTCAAAAAGAAACATTTTCAAATGTTTTGATTCTCGTGAGCACGTTTTCGGTATTAATAAAGTGCTTTAATGATAAGTACATTACGGTTACGCAAAGAGAAATGTTTGAAATGCATAAACCATTTATTTTGTTGACACGTAACCAACAAAAATTTTCTTACTTTTTCATTTTAAAATTGTATTATTCTAATAAACATTTGGTCATTCTAACGAAATATTTTCAATGTATATGTATAACATACACAAGGAAAAAAATATTTTAAATAAAATAAATAAATATTTATAAATATAAATAAAAAAAGTATTTTTTCAGTGTACTATAGAATTAATTAAGAGAGCCATTCTCTTTTCATTCTGTTATGTTTGTAGTTAATAGACAGGATGATCCATTACTTCGGGGTGATGGATTCCGGTTCCATTAGATAAATGAAGAGGCAATGTGTTTTTTCTTATCAAGTTGAAAGTAATTCGGGTTAGAGGATTAATCGTGGCACACCAGTCCGTAGATAGTGCAGATACAAGGTGTGTAGCGAGCTTTATGTTCTACTGCCCAACCGAGTGCCATACGACCTTAAATCCACGCTGGTCGTTGTCCATAAAGCGAAGGAACGATAATGATCCCCGTGGTGATTAGCTTCTGTTACTTGTTACCAGAGATTCTCTCGTAAGTTTCCTTCGCCTAACTTCCTCGCAACCATTTCTTACACGTTTTGTTATTAAATTAACAAATCATTATAAACCCTTAAAAGCACCTCTCGAGCAAAATTGATTTACGTTGAAATTTATAAAATCTTAATCGTAAAAAAAATTTTAGAAGTGATCCGGTTCATTATTAAAAATTCTATAAGGATTGAAATTAGGATAAATACTTTTTTGAAAAGCATTTCGCGACAATATAGAAATATGTAAAATACAGCACGGAACTTATTCGTAAGAATTTCCATTTTTACATTTGAAAACGTTATTCGCATATACACAATGAATCGCGTGTCTTTCATAACTTCCTTCTGTATCAATACCTCAACGCTCAGCATGTTCGAATTTTCCTGGTACGTTATGGAAGTGCATCGTCAAAACGCGGCCGATATATCTCGTTCTCGATATGTTGACTCGACGCCGGTACATGGAAAAAGAGAACTCTCTCTCTCTCTCTCTCTCTCTCTTTCTCTCTCTCCTAAATTATCGTGAGGAGATGCGATAGCCGTGGGACGGATGGATTCTCGCTTGTTCGATATAGCATACGGAAGTTCTTCGGGACAGAGGTCCTTTCGCCGGTTGCCAACCGACCGGGAACCCTCATCGCTCTAGTAACTCCCGCGTAAAGTATAACTTTGCAGTCACTGCAAGGCGGAAACGTCTCAAGCAGCTGTGCGCTAGCCGGCTTAGCCTGCCACTCTCTATCGCATCTCGATATCGTGTGGGATAGGTGATTTCTATTTAGAGCTGTTTACTGTACGCGAAATAGAAAACGTGCATGGCCGATAGACGGAACCGTACGTTTGGCAAGGGCCGCGAGAAGTTGAATTCCATCCTGGACGGTTGGATAGCAAGCGTTTCGATTGAAATTTCCTTCTCAGAAAATAGAGGGAACAGGATAAAGATTATTTTGATATACGAGGCAGAAGATGGATTTTTAAATAAACAAATTATTGTAAATATATAATGTATCATCGAAATACACCTTCTATTCGTTGCAGATCAAAAGAAATTAAAATGATCTAGAAAGATATATGCAAAAATATTTTTATTTTATAAATGTTTCAATCTTATTTGAAGGTATACACTCTAAAACATAGCGATGTCTATATAATTCTCATTGTAGTGGTGTTAATATTAACATCAATATCATATAGATTTAATACTATATTTTAAATCCACACTATGGTGTTGATATAAACGTCAGAGGTTTGAAAGCCACACATGTTGGTGTTAATATTAACACAGTGAGAATTATATAGATATCACATGGATGTTAAATCCTTATCAGGGGTGTTGAATTCACTTGCTGATATTTTTTAGAATGTGTATAAAAATTTCACATATATGTTGCAATAAAAAAATGTATATTCACAAGTAACAGAAATAGCAGAAGCTACAATTGATTGAAAAAAACGTCGACAAATACAATATACAATATAAAAGATACCAGAAGGTAAGTTTGCGAATTATCCATTGCTAATGCCAACG